GTACTCCCCACTTGTAACGCCACCCCCCAACAGTATTGCTGCCCCCACCAACACCTGAACCCACTGTATTTGCAACTCCACTACCACTTACTGAAATATAATGTTCAAAAAAATTAGCAAGTACCTATACATATATAACTCAATCTGTAGTTATTTACTATGATGCAATAATGTTATATATAGTACAGTACAAAAAAATTTACAATCTGGCTACATTCATGGTTAAAAAATAACTTTTAAAGAACTAGAGCACACTGATTAGAACACAATACGTACCTAGTTTTTAACCACCTTAGCAGTTGAAATAATTATACTGTACTATGAGCTATCATGTGATCCTGTTTCATTGTTTATGCACTATCATGATGAAGGAAAGAAGTATGGCTAATGTTAGCTGTCAACTCAAGTTTAAGCCAACATGATCTCTTCTTTACACAATTGTTTCAGAGTTTGTTAAACACCATCACATCTTGAAGACTTCACTATGTTGTCTACAGAAGGTATACAAGTTTAACATACACACACAATCAGAACAGTACATACATGAAAGCTAAGCCACAATTTCTACATTGTCACCAAGACTGTCTGGAACAAATCACAAAATGAAAGGCTTGAACCCATTCCGTGATTTATTTGCAATCATATTACGATTTTGTTTGTCTGAAACAGTTGGAATGAAAGGTAACACCCTACAATTAACAAACCAGCAACAGTTCTTCACCAGCTGTATTTCACCACAAGACACAATAATGTCAACATGTTAAAGAAGCAATATTTGAAAGTTCATGATATAATTCTTGGAGCAGTTGAAGACCAAATTTAAAAAATAAAATAAAAAAAAAGCAATATGGTCTTTAATACTGTATTCAAGATTTATCATCTTGGAATTTTTTCTTCTTCTCAATTAGTTTTGCCACTAAAGGGAGGTTTCCGGATGCCAGCTAAAGGCTCTTGATCCAATTACTTGGACCTATGTATCCCTTCCTTGGACTGAACCTGAATGTCTCCCATTTTCCCAGGTGCTGCATCACTCACAAATTTAGTATTCCCCTCATGAATGTAACAATATCAACATCTCAGTTTGGAGAGTAGTATTAAAACAAACACACACACACCCACACACACACACACACACACACACACACACACACACACACACACACACACACACACACACACAAACAAACACACACACCCACACATATACACTCTCTCTCTAACCTAATGTATTTAAAAAAGAAGGAAAAAAAAAAAAAGGTTAACAAAATACAGTACAGCTTCTTCCTCACTTAACGGCAGAGTTCTATTCCTAAGACCACATCAGTAAATGAATTCAATGCTAAGTCAGGAGCATACTATAATGGTAGTGAGTTTGTGTCAATCATCTTTGATATTGTTTTAATGTCACCTCTGCACCATTTATAACATTTCTGGTATATTTTTAAATGTTTATACAGTAGTGTACTGTATATTGTAATATGTAAACAGAATAGAGGAAATCAGCTCTAATATACATTATTTAGGTATGCATACTGGTTACAGAGCCCATCGTAAGTCCGAGTTGTCAGTAAATGAGTATGCTGCTAAGTGAAGAGCGGCTGTATCATTCAGTAGCAGAGATGGTAATCAATCTATTCAGGGCCAAGTATTTGTATGGTACGTATGAGCCGTTATGCAGCAGAAAAGAATAAGTGCCACTTTAATCAATTCCTTCATCTGTAAGTTAGGCTCAGAGCCCCATAATAAAATATGGTAACTTGAGTTTCATAGCTCCAATCTCTCCTATGCTTGCATTTTTCTCCATAGTTTGAATTTTGCACATTCTTTTTCTGCCTCACAATGCCTCATATATATTATCAAATAACTGATATGACTGATTTAATCTTATCAAGAAATATCATCTTCAGCTTAAATAATTAGATATCCCCTAACAGGAAAACCTGTAATTGGGCTGCATAAGCACCAATTTGCCAATTTCATAAATGCACAGTGTAACAATTTCCATGCTATAACTTAAAAGGTCTAAAGAGGTCTTTGTGGCATTTATGGATTTGGAAAAGGCGTATGACAGGGTGGATAGGGGGGCAATGTGGCAGATGTTGCAAGTGTATGGTGTAGGAGGTAGGTTCTACTGGAACGCAGTGAAGAGTTTTTACGAGGGGATAGTGAGGTCAAGTTGAGTTGTAGAATGAGGGAAATTTTTTCCCAGTAAAAGTAGGCCTTAGACAAGGATGTGTGATGTCACCGTGGTTGTTTAATATATTTATAGATGGGGTTGTAGAGAAGTAAATGCGAGGGTCTTGCATGTGGGTGGAGTAAAAGTTAAAGAATCACACACAAAGTGGGAGTTGTCATACAGCTGCTCTTTGCAGATGACCCTGTGTCTTGGGAGATCTGAAAGAGAAGTTTGCAGGAGATTGGTGGGATGAATTTGGTAGGGTGTGCAACAGAGGAAAATTAACGGTGAATACAGGAAAGAGATAAGGTTCTGAGGGATAACAAAAAGTTAGTGATGAAAGATTGAATATCAGATTGGAGGGAGAGAGTATGGAGGAGGTGAAACGATTAGATATTTGGAGTGGACGTGTCCAGCGGATGGTCTATGAAAGATGAGTGAATCATAGAATTGATGAGGGAAAAAGATAGTGAGTGGTGTTCCCTTAGGAGTCTGTGGAGTCAAGAACTTTGTCCTTGGAGGCCAAAGAGGGGAATGTATGAGGAGTAATAGTTTTACCAACGTCTTAATAAAAGGGTGTGAAGCGTGGGTGATGAATGTTGCAGCGAGGAGAAGGCTGGAGGAAGTGGAGATGTCGTGTCTGAGGGAATGTGTGTGTGAATATATGCAGAGTCGTAGTTTGGAAGTTAGGAGGAGGTGCGGGATTACCAAATCTTGTTGTCCCGAGGGTTCTGAGAAGGGGTTTGAGGTGGTTCGGACATGTGGAGAGAATGGAGCGAAACAGAATGACTTCAAGAGTGTATCAGCCTGTAGTGGTAAGGAAGGCGGGTGGTAGGGGTGGGCTATGGAGGGTTGGAGGGAGGGGGTTAAAGGTGGTTTTGTTTCGTGCGAGGGGCTTGGACTTCCAGCAGGCATGCGTGAGCGTGTTTGTTAGGAGTGAATGGAGACAAATGTTTTTAATCCTTGTCGTGCTGTTGGAGGGTGAGCAAAGTAACCAATTTAGAAGGGATAGGGAAACGGCAGGCCGGATGAGTCCTGGAGATGGGAAAGTACTGTGCCTGCACTCTGAATGGAGGGGTGTTAATGTGGCATTTAAAAAACTGTAGTGTAAAGCACCTTCTGGCAAGGACAGTGATGGAGATGAATGATGGTGAAAGTTTTTCTTTTTCGGGCACCCTGCGTGGTGGGAATCGGCAGTGTGATAATAAAAAAAAAAATATAACTTAAAAGTGCCTCTTGAATGGCTTCATTTTCAAAATTATTTCAGTGGAACTCTATTGCAAGCAATCCCACATGCGAGTTTTTCCAAAATATGGCAAATCATGGACGATTTTTTGCTTCCATTACGCGAGCAAAATTTCCTAGCGAGCGACCTCCCCACCCACTTGACTCTGGTGAGGGAGTCTTGTTTCATCTAGGGAAATGGACTCATTTTGTTTGTTGGACTATCTTATTGGAAACTTAGGCAATGATGATGGAAAGATGCTTCTTAATGTACACCAAAATTGAAAGAAATCAGAGCATAAATAATAGAGTTCATTTCTCAGCAATTAGCCACCCCTTAGCGGTATTTTCATATGGTTTTTATGATTGTATCCTCGTTTTTTTGTCCCTTTTGATAGAATGGAAGATATACACCTACCATCCGACTTACGACCTGCTCGACTTATGACCACTCAACTTCACGACGTAGGTTTTTTATGCAAATTTTGGGAAAATAAACAACTATTTGTGTTGTACACAGTGTTTATCCTAAATCTTACATTATAAAATACAGTACTAACAACATAAAAGTAAAGTAAAACATGAAATACCAAAATAAAACAATAAAATAAAGTCATTACAAAAAAATGTTTGTGATATTCAGTAGTAAGTTCGTCTCGGACTTACGACCATTTCGACTACGACCGTTTCTCAGAAACCGACTCGTCGTAAGTCGGATGTTAGGTGTATTTACATAAATAGATCATGATTTTGATTGCTTTCACAATGAAAAGTACGTAATTTGAAATTGAGCTCAACGTAGGAGAAATGTTAGATTGTTTTGGCTATGCTCAAGAGTAAACAAATGACGTTTCCCCACCTGTCTTTCCAATATGCAGTCGTGAATGGGTTGACATTTATTACAATTATTGCAAATAAGCGTCGTCTGCATCACAGTAATTTTATATTTTTTGTATCAGTGACTAAAAATTACCAAAATTATTTATATTGTAAATTATATTGTAATAATTGTATTCTGAGCACTCTGCAAAAAACAGTGTGTAATGTGTGAGTGTGTGTGAAGTGTTGAATGATTCAAGAAATGTAATGCACGATTGCAAAACAAACCCATACCCCGGCTTGGGATTGACCCCGTGGTCATAGAGTTCAAAAATCCAGCCCGGCACGGCCTGCTAGCTGGAGATTCTCTGTAAAAACGTGCATTTGTGGTACAGTGGTGGCCTGTGTAACCTTCCTACTGGTGTAGAAAATACCTAGTTGGATGAATCTTATTGTGGCTAGCTGTCTAGTGGCTACTGCGACAGGCTGGAGTTTTTGAGACTATGACCGCGGGTTCAATCCGGCCCGGGGGTATGGTTTGCGTTGGAATGATGATGAAAAAGTATTTTCTTTTTGGGGATTTTCTTCTTTTTTGGGTCACCCTGCTCGGTGGGAGATGGCCCAACTTGTTGTTGAGAGAAAAAAAAAAAAAAAAAAAAAAAAAAAATAAAATCAAAAAAAAAAATAATAATTAATACTAATATGTTAGGTAGTAGGTTGGTAGACAGCAACCATCAGGGAGGTACTACGTCCTGCCAAGTGAGTGTAAAAAAAAAAACGAAGCTGTGATTGTTTTACATGATGGTCGGATTGCTGATGTTTTTGTCTGTCTCATAAATATGCAAAGATTACCGGTATGTCTTGTACTTCT